TATATATACTAGCAAAAACACTACTCTCTCGTAAAGATGCCACACACATCAAAGATTATGCTTACGATGATTCAAGGTGGACTTTAATGGCGTTCGTTACGAATTTTGGTCGAGACGACATACCCTACTTTTTCTATTTTTAATGTTTTTTTTTCGAAAGTTATATGAATAAATTTTAGTGATATAAGATCAATGAACATAATATCATAATAAATTAGTTAGAAATGAGAGAGATGATGAAAGATAAATACGTGTAGAGAAAAGATGTCAATTAAAGTCCACCCCAAAAAGGTTTAAGAAAACGTTGTAATAAGAAGCTTTGTTCATAGTTAGTCCTGGTGACATTGGTAATGTATTTCGTGCGTTAATTCTGTTAAAAAACAAAAAAAAAGTGGATGGATGCAATTAGTGATAAACATGACGATTGGTTTCTTTCCTAGTTTCAGCTTGTTCAGTTATTTTCCCATTTACTACTATCATTAGATTGTTAAATCAACATACACACAGTCAATAAAATTAGTTTCATATGCGAGTGAAATATTAATATAAAAAAGAAAAGGATAAACTTGTGGGGTCACACCTTAATAAATTAAAATATTATTTAATAAAAAAGAAAACATTGTTTTTAGTCACGTTTCCAATGCTTTCTACTACTTCCTTTTGGAACATCGTTAAATAACATTCCACGTTAAGGGGATGCGTGTATCTCCTCCTTGACACAAAGCTGCAGCTCCAAATAAAGTTAACATCGAATAAAGCGAGAAACAACGATCTATGTTTGCTAGTCCTCGTACTATGTACTCTTTCATTAGATCAAAATCATTATAATAGAGTTACAAACATAAAGAAGATGGAATAAAGTTAATTTTGTCAGATTATCATCTTACCTTAGCGGAGTCCTTTAAATGTGCCATGCTGGGATCGTTGATGGGTTTACCACTTGCAGCTTTGGTCGCGTGTATCAGATCACCTAACGCAGATGCAACATCTTTGACCGCGTTGATAAGCATCACCTGAGCTTCAGGATTTTGACTACCAAGACTCGCTGCACCATATTTCACAACTTCTGCGAGTTGAACGATCGTAGATACTGAATTTTGTGCTGCTACGGCAAGTTGTTCTTGAGAAGAAGCTGCACCAGCAACCAATGTTTTGGTATCTTCTACCAAAGCTTTTGCAGTTTTCAAGATATTTTCACGATGATCGGCAAAAGTATCCCCTTCGTTTTCAGCATGTAAAGTTCCGGCAGTAGCAAACATTATGGTTGTATCTAGATCACCGATTATACCGGATACTGTACTAGCTGCATTGATGCATGCTTGTGTACCACGTGAACCAGCTTGTAATGCAGCTAACACTTGAGAAACTTTTTCCGTAACGATCTTGCTGTGCTCGGCTACTTCACGTTGGATGTATACATCACCGAGAGACATTTGACAAGTTCCTGCGGCACGTACGATATCAATACAGGTCTGTCCTAGTTCTTGAACACCCGTTCTTAATCTGGTAGAAACGTCAGCATTTGATGCAGCAGCCGATGCACCCGAAGTATCACGCGCTAGTTGCGTATATTTGTGAGATATGTCAACGGCAAGTGGTCCCAATCTTGCTACGTCTGTACTTGATTTTGTCGACTGTAAATAAAATAAATTACATTTAGAATTGTATTCGTATGATTACTGATATATTACGAGGATAAAGTATCTTACCATTTCTTGGGCAAGTCGTGCAATTTCTTTGGCAGCCTCGACCATTCTTGTTTGATAATCAACGTAAGAATCGACTGTATCGATGGTAGACATTCTATGATCTTCCAGTCTGACCATAGCTCGTGAGATAGTATCGATCAATCCTGTTACAATTCCGTTAGATGTTGAAATAGTTTCCAATGTGTTTTGTAACTCATGTAATGCATCTTTCATAGATTCGACAGTTTCGTCAACTTCTGCGTGAAGAGAAGTTGCATTTGGATTTCCTCCAGATTCTTTGGTAACGTATATCAATTGTAAGGCCGATTCAGCTACGGTTTTGGTCTGGTCTAGTAATACCATTTGTTGTTTCGAATGTACCATATTTGATGCGGCCCCAATGGCACAAGATACCAAGGGCTCGCAATACAATGCAACTTGATTTACGGAATGTCCAACATTTTCAGCTTCGTATTTCGCAGCGTTGCGCAACGGTTCCAATTTCTCACGTAATTCGCTCGCGCTACTTTCCATTTGATCGGTGAAACCTTGCACGGTGTTATCGCGTCTTGGCATTAAAGCTTGGGAAACAGCGCTCAAAGAAGCGGTATCTAATTCGCGTATTCTTGCCGAAAGTTTTTCTATCGCTGCCTCGCATTCCTTTTGACCCGGTGCTTTGTCACGTATGGATGCGACTAATGACTTGATCGAATCGCTCACGTTCTTACTGTTGTTGGCCAATAATTGCCAAGTTGGAGGATCTTTCGGTGATATGGCCAAACTTTTCGCAACTTGTACCATTGCGCAGGAGCCTTCGATAATAGCTTTTCCAGCACTCGTAATAGGTTCTTGTGCTGCTCTAGCGGCAATCGATATTTTAGCTGGTTGACTAGCGAATTCCGGTGAACTCGCGAACGTGCAAAGATTGTCGATAGCTTCCAAAAGTGGTTTAACAGCTTCCGCACATTTTTCACGATTTATCTCGGAATAATTACGATCGAGAGCTTTTATTTCGTTAACCAATGAAGCAGTGGCGTTAGCTACATCTTTTGCGGATTGTACGAAGTGACGTTTGGCAACTGGATTGCTGGTTTTACTGGAAGCTTGACGACAAGCATTGCACAGTGCACTGGTATGTTTTGCTATCATCGTAGTAGCTGATACGACTTGTTGTTGACTACTCGTTGGATTACCGAGACTCTGACAACCGGTATGAATGGCTTGAGCAGCCCTGAGAAATTGTGCTTGATCAACTAAACCAGGTTTACCAGCGACCGATGTTGGATCGCTAACTCCAACTAGATAAGCCGCTTGAGCAGCAGCTTCGATCAATCCACAAATCGATGATGAGACTCCTCTAACAGCTACGGAAAACTGTTCGTGTTCCGATTTCTTAGCATGATTTGCGATACCTGTCATACCGTCCCCAAGACTCTTACTCTTTTCCATGACGATTTCCAAACATTCGAAATAAGACGCATCGGAAATAGGCTCACTAGGATTATCCAAAAGTGATGCCATCGATTGAATATTTCTGATAGCGCTATCGCATTCATTTTGTCCTGGTGCTGCTGAAGTGCACACATCAACTAAATAATTAATAGAATCAGTTACCGCTCGAGCAGCAGCAGAAAGTTGGTTCTTTGCATTTGGTGCACTAGGATCGGCGGCTACTGATTTAGCTGTTGTCAGAAGTTTGCTTGATGTCATGCTAACGTTTTTCAATGAAACCACCATTTGGCTTCTAGTTTCTACGGTGGTTTGACTTGCCATTTCCATACCAACACCTAATAGATCTCCAAAGGCATTAGAAAATTGTTTGGAAGAACTTGCCAATTGTACCGGTGAACGAACCGAAGAGACGACGTCCGAAGAGGCATCGTTCAAGTTGGCAGCTGCATTGTTAAGATCACTTTGCAATTGTCTGTAAAAAAAAAAAAGAAAACAAAAAGATGACAAAAATAATTACATTAATATTCCCGTTGCAAATTCAGTGTAGATAAAACTTTTAAATGTAGTTGTAGCATTAGTGAGATATTCAAAGGTAGATAATAAGTAAAATGAGGACAATAAGTGTTATCAGTAAACGTAAGACCATTTAAAAAAAAACATTCCGATAAAAACTTACCCATAATTCTTATCAGTGTGCGGGAACTCATTCATATTGAGAACTTGACTCATGTCATCTATCGTACGAATTGCATCGTCTACGTCTCTCTGACCTGGTAGACAAGAAACGCATTTGTTCAAAGAGTGTGACACTTCTTTGGCAACAGCAGCTAAATTGGCTTTATTTTCTGGATTATCTGGATTTTTCAATGCTCGTCTGGCTTCTTGGACGAGATGCAGTGATCGGAAAATGACATCGTCCGCAGTCATTAATACTTTCTTTTGTGTTTCTGGTTGATTGGACGTTGCAGCAACACCACGAACGGCATACGTAAGATCTTTTAATGCCGAGGCTGTTTCTCTAGCAGCACTTCCAGTATAATTTTCGTTTCCTTGTTTTGCAGCTGATAAAAGTTGAGCCATAGCATAGCCGACATTCTTGGAAGTCGAACCAAGTCGCAATGCCGTGGATTCCGTAGTTTCTTCCGGTAATGGTCTCAAGGAAGCAGCTTCTACGGCTTGATAAAATTCTTTTAATTCATCCTTCAAACTATTTATTAATTCTTCAGCAGCATCTAATTCTAATCCACCGCAAGCTTCCCTGGCTCGTGTAACAGCTGATCTCAAGTCAGCCAAGGAGGAACCAAATTGTTGAGATGTATGATTCAATTGCATAGCCGATGCTTGATCGTTGACAGTAGGTAAGACAGCTCTGGCAGCTTTAATTACGGCACTGCCCGGTTGTAAAAATTGTTCCGCGGCATTAATGAGATTTAATTGTGCGGTAGGATTATCAGGTTGAGCTTGAGTACCTTTTACTCCAGCAACTAAATGTGGTATATGTTGTGCCATAGATCTACACTCGACATTTAATTCTTCTTGACTTGCGTGATTCGTATTGTGATGTACAGCACCGGAAGCAGCAGCGATGCATTGTGTTGCAGTTGATGCCGCTTGTTTAGCGCAACCTTCCAAACGTACGATTAATTTTCTACGCAATGCAGGAGTTGCCGCTACCGTAGTAGCCGTTCTCAATTCTTCGGCAGCTTGTCTAAGTTGATCCTGCATTTTAGCATCGTGTGGACTGCTTGTACATTGTCTAGCAGCTTCAACCATTTTTGCAGTAGCGTCGGCTAAAATTTTGGCTGCTGCTAAAAGACGTCGCTGTTGTTCTGGATCGGATTGTCTTTCAGCTTCACCTTTGATACTTTGAATCAATTGTGCTGTAGCTTGGCCAACAACTCTAGCCTGTCTGACCATTTCACCGGCATCACCAGTGCTAGCAAATAATTTATCAGTTGCTACGAGAATCGTTTCAACAGCACCTTCTTGAACGGTTTCCTTGGCACGTTCTCCTCTAGTTGCCGTTTTAATATGATTCAAAAGATCGTTCAACGTTCTACTGACTTCGCTTGCCGCTGTACTCAATTCTTTCAACAAGTTTTCATCGTTGCAGGTTTCGTTGCAGACTTCGACCAAACCTTCGACAGCTTTCGTTACTTCTCTAACAGCATTCATCAATTGCGTTTGACAAGCGGGCGAGTGTAAAGTTGGTGCAACTACTTTCGCACAAGCTACCAATTGTGAGGTAGCCAATGCACATTGAGTAGCAGCCGATATGACTTTGTTTTGAGTAGCTGAATCCTCGCAAGTAGCCGCGATGTTTTTAGCTTTTAATACCAATGCTGCAGTAGTATTAGCTACAGCTTTAGCCAATGCCAACAACATATCTTGTAATTCGCGATTTGAATCGTTTTCCTCGCCGATGGTCGTCAATACTTGATGAGAAGCCTCCCCAACTCGAGATGCAGCGTTCAACAAGTTCTGTCTTGGCTGAAAATTAAAGTCAAGAAAAATTTGTCAAAAATCATTTGAAAAAGACACGTTGCTACAGATGACACAATGACGTAAAACAATATTAATGTTTGAAATAAATTTCTCGATAAACTAAATATGATTAATCGCGAATTTGATTGCTTACGTATTGTCCATAAAGAGTAGAAGTTATGTAGAAAGGCTGCAGGTAACAGAATAATATTTCATTTTTGTATCGAAAGGACAAATACTGACATTATCATCATCATTAAATCAAATGGCACAGTATTTACATTGATTTTCTATTATTGCTATACTTATTGATATTCAAATATCATTCTAAAGAAAAAAACAACTAAACTTACCTCTTTAGTTTCCGGTTCTGTTGCCTTGAGTAGATCAGAGAACGCGGAACATAATTTTCTCGCAGCATCGAGTAATCTTTCTCCGGACGATTCGTCATCCATCAATGCAGCTATCATTCTTACACCTTTCGTCATTTCAGGTAGATTCGTTGCTATAGTTGTTATAGCTGCACCAACTGCAGTGTGATCAACGTCATCAGCTGGGCCCGAGGTCAACGTAACAACTTGTGCCGTAGCAGCATTCATTGCTGCTATCTGTGATCCTACGTTTTGTTTGTGCGTATCTATGGTTTGTTCGATCCATTTTAGGGATGCTGGATCTGTACCGAGTTCCGGTAATTGTGCTTTAGAAGATAATTCCGTTTCTGCGATATTGATCACCTCGTGACCAGCGGTTATCGTTGAAAGTAAGGCACGTTGTGGTTCCGACAGGACGGATGTAACTTTTGTTTGCTGTACCTGTGTTTTTTTATTTAATTTTTTTGTTTTATTATACAAATATTTATTATATATCTCGCAAGAATTTTTTTCTTTTCATATTCCGTCTATACACTTTATAATAACAAGCGTTCGTATATTACGCGATACAAAGTTACCCCGTTAGAATTTTTTTTTGTGTATGTGTGAATCAAACAACAAATTGCAACAAAGTGCGTAATAAGAATAATCGGATGCATGCACGATAAATAAATAAATAAATAAATAAATAAATTGTAACGTGAATAGAAAGAACAAAAATTCTATCGTGATTTTCATTGAATAACAAGCGAAGTAAGAAATAAATTGTTAAATGGTGATAATATATATATATATATATTTTGAGATGAAAGTAACTTAATAGAAAAATTTGCGCAAAACTAAAAATGAGAGGTGGAGGGGGAGCATCGTCGTGTACCTACTCTGTGTCCGCAATAGAAGGCGTCTAGCATGAAAATAAATTTAATTTTCAATTAGTTTCTTTGACATTTCAAATGTTTCTATATTTTTGTTTTGTTTATTAATTTTGTTTTCGAATGAAATCTTTTTATTACTGATTATCATAATCAATTGGTACTTCCTGTATAATCCATGGGTACGTATGATGCTTCACCTAAGTTATGATGTCATTTTAAAAACACAGAGTAGCTGCTCTGCTAACGCGCGAACCATCAACAACGATTATAATCAAAATTAGAACCGATGGTTTATGATTGGATTTATAAAAAAAAAAAAAAAAAACAAATCAAATCAACCATTGAATTATAGGCTAAGCTCTTTTTTTCTTTTTTTTTTTCAAAAAAAAAAAAAAAAGCTTTTTCGAATTTCTTTCTAACAATCTTACCATTGGTGGTGCATGTGCGATGTTGACTTGTCCGCTGACGGTTGTATATTGAGCTCCACCCATGTGACCAGTCCCATATGGTCGAGCCCCTATAAATTTTGTTCATGCAGTCTAATCTATGATCATTTTTGTTTGTCCCATATGTACAATGAACAATTTGTCAGGATTCTTTTGTTGGTTGTTGTGTTTTTTTATTTTTTTATTTTTTTTATTTTTACACTACCGTAATATTATACAACTCACATATCCTTGAGTTAATAAAAAAGAGAGAGAGACAGTAAAAAAAAAAAAAAAAAATAAAAAGAAGGAGAAAAGAAATAAAATAAAAGTAAATTTGTTGAAAACTACTGAGATAAATTACTTATGAAGCCATTTACAAAAGCTAGCTTTTTTCTGGCCTAAAAATTATAGCCAACAACTATATATACAATAAAAGCTTGTATGTACTATATGTACAAAATTATATAATAAATAAAATATGTATATATATATATATATATATATAGGAATTAAATTAAGAATTCGAACGTGCATGAATTCTTCGTTTTTGATTGAAATATTTTTGTATAATAAAATAGAAGAAAATAAATAAATTAAAATAATTAAACGTAATAGCTGGGAAATACATGTAATCATGTTATTTAAAATGACGCTAATTTATCTAACTATGGGACATCGATTTGTATTGTTTAAAATTTTTAATAATATAAAATATTTGTTTATTTAACTTACCATCTCCACCGGCTCTTATAACTGCAGGAATTGCTACCGAAACAGCTTCAACGTTTCCTTTTCCAACGTTGCTAGTCTCGTGTTGCATTATTGTTGCTCTAAATAAATAAATAAATAATAATATTAATTAACAAATAATATCTGATTTTTGTTCTGTCAAGTTTCCTACTTTTTCATGGCATTAGAAGTAAGCCACTTGTCATGTTCGTATTTTTGTTTTCTCAAAAATTGTTCCATTTTATTACACACAGAGATAACTCAAGTGTTACACTCATGAAAGATTATTCTGAAGTACGATCTCAACTATCTCTCTAATCAATTATGACATATCAAACTTACTAATTTTATTGTTTAATATCAATTATGATAGTTCTTCGTAAGAAAAGTTAATTAACACGTTTCAAACTTACTTCAGTGGTGATACGCTGTCTTCAACCATAGTTGATCCTTCATCTCCTTCGATACCAAAATGGTCTTTGCCCTTTTGTTTCTTCAATATAATATCGATGTAACCAGCGATAAGTTGTAATATTTGTTCAGCTTCTGTAGTTTGTACGCTGTAATATTGATCAGAATAATCCCCAAAATCAAGGGTGAACGTGTTAGGTGAAGCACCCCAACGTCGGACGGTAGTCAATGGCCATGTTTTTAAAATTTCTTTCGTTTTTTCGTCCAATCGTAATACTGAATCTTTCGTAACACCGAGCAAACGTGGTACGAGTTTATTTTTACCCTTCATCTTTTCTTTTACCAAGAAAAACGTAACACCATAAGTACTCAATGATCTGGCAGTTTTCGTATATAAAACTTTGGCATCAAGTTCTGACAAACCAACGTGCTTTTTGTGCTCGGTAAATACCTTCTTTTCAATACCTTTAACCTTGACGTATGATGTCGGTAAAAATTCTTTTAAACTACAACAAAATAATTAATAACATTTGTAATAATAATTTTATAGAATGGATTGAATTATTTCGAAGAAAAATGTTAAAAAAAAAAAACATACTCCAAGAAACCTGGTTTGTGTTTATCTTCCTTGTGATCACCGAATTGTATTTGGCATTGTATTCCTGCGAATATGCATGCCTTTTCTTGCGTAACAGGATGAGTACCGTCTAAAATTGCATCTCTAGCTTGTACGTATAAAAGTGACAATTGCAATGGATCGCGACTGTCGATGTTTTGATCGGAGAAGAAAAATTTTCTTCTCAATAATACGGTTTCCGATTCGTCAATACCTTGTTCGCGAAGTGTTTTACTTGGATCAATCCAATTAACTATAAAACATTAACAACAATAACAACAGGGAATGAAATAAAGAACAAATTGTCTTTCATTTAATTAAAATCACAATATGATGTTGTAGTTTTGTAGATTTGATTATTTGTTTTTTGATATTTGAATTTACCTTCATCGTCAGTTTTAAGTTTCTTCCTCAATTGATCCATCTTGGCATCTCTCTCACCTTTGTCCTCCTTTCTCCTTTTCAACGTCAGTGTACCAAAGTTACCGGGTTTTTGATTTTCCGTTTCTTCGTCTACCAATTCGCGTACAAGTGAATACTCGTCGTGGTTCGTAATACCAATTTTTGTGCAAATAACAACCATTAAATTAGCGACTGGTTGACTGTCATCAACTAATAATGTTTTCAACGTTCCATCCAACATTCGTACTCTGAGGGTCCGTAATTTACGACGATATTCCAAAAGATCACCGTTTCTTAAGATATAATAATCGAGATTTCTTCCTGGTTCTAACCATACACCTTTTTTTACATCTTCATCGGCAAAGAAAAGACCATAATCTTTGGCTAAACACAAATGAAATTATTATCGTTTTAATTTTGTTTTTCTTTTATTATTATTAAAGGATTATTAATTATCTTATTAGGGTAAATCAAAAGTTCGTGCGTTTGAACCTGTTGAAATTTTATTTCAAAACTGCAGATACAATGAATTGTATTTTTGTAAAATTTAATAAACAAAAATACAACTGCACAAACTTTTGCTACCACTTTAATGTTCAGACTAATTAATTAAATAATAAATTTAAACTTACGTTGTCCCATGTTACTGGCTTCTGCTAATTTTTCTCTTATTATACGGCACGCATCGTAAACCGAAGTACTTGGATCGAATTGCATCATCTTAGTTGCATTTTTCTCCGGAATGGAGATGCGTAAAGATAAAGTGGCCATTGCGAATGCTCGCAACAAGGACGATTTTTCTCTATTCAAAATGAAATTTATTCTAGTTATTTTATCATTCAAGTAAACGCGCGTTATAATCAATGATCTGATTTAAACGATTGAATTTAATAACCATTAATAAATAAGTAAGAGAGAACGATAACATTGAAGAAGAAGATTATAAATTCAACTGTTACATTCAATTCATTTATTTTATGAATTCTAAATCTTAAGTTTACATATTTCCTATTTAAACAAACTCAACAACTAAATAAAAAATAAATTGTTAATTAATTGTTATTATTAATATCATTAAATAAGTAAACCAAGTAACAACATCAGCCACTAAATCATGCAATTGTTAATATAAACCCTTTGAGTGGTGAATACTTTTACCTAAAATGTTTTGTAGAAACGAAATAATTTATTATCAACCAAATTCTCTAACAATAAATTATATTTAATAATTAACATTTGCATTTCTGAATATAATATAATTTAATTAATACAAATATAACATTATTTTACATTAATACTAACAAATAAGTATATGCGTCGAATAATAACGCTAGTAATTTTTATCAAACGCATATATGTGTCCATAGCACTCAAAAGGTTAATTATTTAAATAATTAAAACAACTAAAAACATATCTAAAAAAGTAAAGTTATATTATAATATGATTATTATGAAAATGTTCAACGTGTTGCACAGTGTCAATTTTGTGTTCTTGTTAAATTGGTGACACTAGTCAACCGATCACAGTCAAAATATTCAAAGTTTAATGATCTTTACGTCACGTAAACCACGCAACATGTTTTACAATTAAAAGTAGTAGAATGAGAGACACAAAGAGAGAGAGAGAGAGAGAGAGAGAGAGAGGGAGTAAATAAAGGCACGCATATGAAATAGACGTGTGACGTAGTGTGGTGGGTAATAAACACTTTCACGCTACGTTTGGTTTTGCATGTGAACGAACTAACAGAACTGGGAATAACAGGAAAGGGAGCGGACGTGCATCATATTTTAGGTGTTATTTAAACGAGATAGCAAGTTAAAATTGTCTGTGTGTGTGTGTGTGTGTTCTAAAAATGCCGCAAGCGATATTTAGAAAAAGAAAAAAAAACACACACACACACACACAATGAAAATAAACAAAATAACTCACTTCTTTTTTCCTTCTTCCTTTTTGCAACTTTGTTGTTGTTTCTTTGACACGTAATTAGTTGGCTACTTTTTTTCGTTATTCGTTTATTATACAGAAAATGTTGTCGATTCTTCGATTATGATACCACAATTGAACCACTATCAATGGAATCTGTTAAATTATAAAAAAAAAAAAATATTTATAATATATATTTGTGTTTGATAATTTTGATGATGAAAATAATTTAATGGAAAATCTAAAGAAGAAAAATATACATCGTATGACAAAATATTTTCTGAATAATTAAATTATTTAGTTTAATAAATTAACTTTTGAAGTTTTTAATTTGTAAATTAAATTACATTAAATTCATTAATAAAATCATTAAAAATGATATTTAATTTGTTAATTAAATTACATTTACCACTCAAATATAATGGTAAATGAAACTTTTGTTTGAAGATACTTTTTTTAACGAGATTTCAACGTCAAAGTAAGTTTTGTTTTTTTAAATAGAATGTCTAGTTTATTTCTCCTGGATTTTGATGCAGCATGAAATTTTGCATAAAATAAATATAAAAATTATCATATTACGTAAGATCTAAAATGAATAATTGAAAATTTTTCAGACAATTTCTTATTTTCTTCGTTCGAGAAATGTGTTTTATTTTCGTATAAAAGCATTGTACTCTTAAATAGCAGATAATAAAGTGAATGATCTTGAAGAAAAGAGAATAAACGAGGAAAACCAAGGACGTTTGAAAGTATATAATATATACATAGTATATAAACGAAGCTATCGACAATATACGGGCGCCGATAATGGCGTCGCGACGACTTGGCGCCATTTTCCGACGCTTCATTGAAGACGACCTAAATAAATAAAAAAAAAAAAAAGAAACTCTTTTCAAACTTTCATCCAAAATTATTAAAATCATCATATTAAAAAAAAGAATAAACCTTAAAAGAAAAATACGATGGATTGTAATTACGCGCTGTTAAAAAGCAAAAAACGAATGAGACGACATTTTTTCGCGTAAGTTTAATTTGAGGTGGGGAACAAAAAATAAAAAATAAAAGTCTCCGTGTTTACGCAACCACCATGTTTGTTTTTTCGTGAAACGCAGAGAGAGTTTTTTTTTTTTTCAAGTCGTATATAAATATATAAACATGCGGACTGAAAGCAGAAGCTTGTTCATAGTTAATTTTCGTGAGAGAGAAAGATAAAATGCAGGCTCGTCTACAGGCTGATTCAAATAACCATAACAAGGCATATTTATTTTTTTGAGTTACCATTAAAAAAAAAAAAAAAAACAAAAGAATAGAAGATAAATGATCCTGGGTGGAGTATATGGTCACATTTTATTCGCTAGTATGAAATTGCATGTGAATTCTCAATCATATTTTTTTGTTTCCTCTAGTATAACGCAATATTGCATGAATGTAAGAAATGATTGCAACTAACAGAAAAAAAAACAGAAGAAAAATAATTAAACATTAGGGTGAACCAAAAGTTCGTGAGAGTTTATTGTGTTGTTTAAGATACTGCAATATTTGTCAGATTTAGTATGGAAGTG